TATTCTATATTAAGAGTGATGCAAAATGTTCTCATTTTAAATTTACTTCTTAATATTATCATCTTGACGTGCAATAACATATTTTAGTTTTATTTTTTTATCACATGCGGTAGCTAGGTCAATTTTTGACAAATAATAAATATAAATATTTTAATGCAATGTGTAGTGGATTTAAACATTAGAATATATATTTGGAAGCTAAAAAATCATATTTATTTCTTTGATTAATTTCTTATGAGGGTTAGGCAATTCAATGGAGACAATAAAAATAAAGAATATTAGTTTAATAATGAAAATAAATAATATTCGTTTAATGTTATTATCAACTTCCTAAAAGAGTAGAACATATCACAAATGGATATATTGATTTGTAATTAATTGCGATTTTGTCCAATTAGTTAAAAGTATTTTTTTTCTTTGAGTAATTTCTTTTGAGGTTGGGCAATTCAAGGAAAACAATGAATATAAAGAATATTCCTTTAATGTTATTATCTACTTAGAAATAGTAGAGTAGAATATATCACAAAGGGCGATATTGAATTGTAATTGCTTAAAACTATTATTATTTTAAATTGTTGCTATTAGGTCAAATTTGAGTGTCTTTAGTTATATTCATTGCTTTTTGAATAAGAGATATGAAGAAAATTGGATATGTTTTTAACTGATAATTTAGATTATATTTTCTTTTATGGTAATGTTACACCTAGTTACAAAAATTTTATATAATATTATTTATGTTACTTATTATTATTACAAGTATTTTTTATGCGCGATGCACAAAAAGTATGTGCCCAATATTAGTACTTTATATTAAAATTTTAAATTCTTTTAGATTTTAAATATTTAAATGATTGTAAATAATAACAAAAATAATAATAATAATAATAATAATAATAATAATAATAATAATAATGTAAAACATTTTTATAAATTTGATAATTATGTTTTAGAAAATAACTAACATATATAAAAATGTGTATATCTTGTTATTATTGAATAATATAAGAAAATATATGGTGGATGTATGTGGCTATGTGCATGGTAACAATAGTGAAAAGATAACGGAAGCTATAACGGTAGGGGTATGTTTGTCCAAAATATTGTAAAATACAACTTTTATAGCATAATGATAAAAAAAACTTAACGGAAAAAACGGACATAACGGTAGGGGTTTAATTAATTTTTTATGAATGGTAAATCATATATGTGTGTGTGTGTGTGTGTGTGTGTGTGTATATATATATATATATATATATATATATATATATATATATATATATATATATATATATATATATATATAGGCGCGCATACTTACCAATATATGTGACCGGGTACTATATTAATATTATTGGTATTTTATTTATTTATTGTAAAAACAAAGTATAAATTATATCAAAATTATTTACATTATTAATAAACAAATTATAAATTTTGTTCATCTCTATAGTTTTCAATTACGATGATTAAAATTTACTACTTTAAGGAATTGCAAAATATAACTATAACTTGTAAGTATTTGCATTTCTCAATTTTTTAATGTTGGACATAAATTTTCGCGCATCACGTGTATAAAATGCTAGTATTATATATAAATATTATAATAATTAATAACTTTAACTCCTCAAGTCCTCAGACCTCAACTCTAAGTCGTAAGTCTCAACATTTGGTGTTCTAATAATTCTTATTTTTCAAATAGTAACTATGCAGATTGATGATTCTTCATCTTGTCATCAACAAAACACTTCAAGTGACACTCCAAGTGAGCCAACTGAACAATCGGTCAGGCAAAAAAAGAAACATTCAAATAGTGGGCTTCCACCAAAACTAAACCGAATACCGAACTAAAACTGAACTTTTTTGAACCAAAGCGAAACCGAACCCAACTCTATTGTTAAATCGAATGGTTTAATTTGTTTAAAACCGAAAAAAAAACGAAACAAAAACTGAAACAGATGAAAAAAACTGAACCGAAACCCGAAACGTCAATCCCTAATTGTACGGTAACCACAACAATCGTACGCAAAAGTAATAAGACATACGGAATAGAGAAGTAAGTAGAGAAAATGTAGAACAGAAGATGTAAGAACTCATCAACATTTCTCTCTTATTGATCATAGCAATACAAACGCACACACACATACACACATACACACACACATACACACAAGATGGATATTCATTCCCTAAGAAACATTAATAGAGATGATGAAGGGATAATCATATAATGCTCATCAATTATGTATATTTGTTGCACTAAGCCTTTGGCCACTATTTAAGCACACGCATGTCTCGTTAAAACCCTCAGTATAAAAACCTAGTGGGAAAAGCCTAGACTAGGAAAAGAGTACACGAAATATGTTAAGCCATGTGTTGCACCGGTTTCCTGATTAAAAACTTTACCCTAAAAAAATCCAGTGGAAAAAACTTATCACTACAAGAAAAATGCACATAGACAACACTAGAAAGACAACAGTATCATTATTATTATTATTATTATTATTATTATTATTATTATTATTATTATTATTATTATTATTATTATTATTATTATTATATTTGATATTGGTACAATGTCTCCTACCACCATATTACTTCCTATTATTTTAAAAACTAAAATGCAGCACAAAAAAAGCATGTGCAGTCTTTTTTTCATATTTTTTTCTCTTATGAGGCCCACAAAAAACCACTATCTCTCAGGAGTTCAAAATTCACTCTGATCTATCTCAATCGTTATACCCTGCACCACGCGGCATTGTGCGCCCCGCGCCTCTCAAAACGACGTCGTTTTGTTAAGTTGTGTAGGAAGTTCACACGATTATGTACATTATGGTATACAATTATGTACATTTTTTATACAATTATGTAGATTTTTTTATACAATTATGTACATTTTTTTAATACAATTATGTGCATCCGAAACATGGAATTTGTGTGTATTATGTTAAGAGTCTATGGGTATTATGTTAAAAGTTTATGTGTATTATGTATTATGTTAGATTATGTGTATTATCTTTTCAAAAAAGAGTATGTGTATTTTGTTATACAATTATATACATTCTAGTATACAATTATGTACATTTTCGAAACATGAAATTTCTTTTAAAGAAAATTAACAGTCGACACAGGAAAGCGAAATTCCCAACAAAAAAAATCCAAAACGACATCATTTTGCATCAGGGCGGACAATGCAATGTGCGCCCTGGTGCACGATATAAATTGCCTATCTCTCCTTCTTCTCTATCCTCCAACTCATATTGGACTCCACAAAAAATCATAGAAGGGATTGTTTTAACCGAAATTTTTAAAATTTTAACCGTTAACCGAACTGAACTTTGTATTACTGAGTTAACTAAATAGAAGTTTTTTCGGTTAATCGGTCAGTTAAATCCTAAAAATAATACATATAATAATAAATCAATAAGAAAATAAACAAAAAACAATACCATAACATTATTTTACATTATATATATATATATATATATATATATATATATATATATATATATATATATATATATATATATATATTTGTCTAATTTATAAAAATGTTAAACAAGATATATAAAATCTTTAAAGTTACAGCACTACATGCGTACATCTACACATTAGTTATTAATTTGAGCAATTAATTGCTCGAAGTCAAACAATGGTAGCATCAACAAATATAAACGATCCAGACACTGCTGAAAATTATGAAATTTCCGACCACCTGAAAATGATCTTAAATCAAGTCGAAAGCCTTTATAGCTATTTCCGACCACTTTTTACTTTCGATTTGATTTAAGATCACTTTCAGGTGGTCGAAAATTCCATAATTTCCAGTAGTGAGACCATGTCTTCAATTGCACATAATAATATTTGATGTTATAATTTAAATAATTGTATAACGACCCAAATATTTTTAATATATTATAACAAATTCATTCCGTGCATCGCACGGGTGAAAATACTAGTTATCAATAATAATCACAATAATGTATGGTATATATAATAATATGGTGCGGTTAATTATATTGTCGACTAACATTGTAAATTTTCTCTACTACATCGACCACCCAACTCAAGTTTTCTGGCTCCGTCCCTAATACCAAGCACACAACACGATATAGCTTGTGCGGTGATACACCAACCTTGGGACGTGGAATTTCCACGCTGCATCGGTCGCCCAAAGAAAAGAACGTGTCAGCTATAAGACAACCCGGTCGGTGTTTCTACAATAGTTATTCCAAGGGTTCCTGAAGCATCACACAGGTTGCATGGAAATTTAGGGGGTGGGGGAGGCAACGTTGTCGCCGTCGCTGACTCTAGAATTAAAAGAGCCGCCTCTCTCTATATCGTTGTCGCCACCGTTGTCATTGCTATCTCTCTTCCTAACAGCCCCTTTTTGAAGATCGAGAAGTCCATCTTGAAGGACGCCGCCACTGCGTCCTCGGCTTCCTCCGCCGCTGCGCCCGCTAGCTATCGATTCATATCCAACGCCATCACACCCGCCTCGATGCCCACTGTGAAACCAACCCAAATCAGAACGAAAACCGCCTTTGGATCTGGGAGATAATAAATAACTAACTTTTTTTTTTAAAACCAAATAACTAACTTTATTAGTAACTCTTTGATAAGCACGACACATATTATTCAATTTTTATCTTGCTCCAATCGCAACTGCTCATCCACTTGTTTCTACATCATTGCCTCAAGTGTAGAATTTGAAGTCTGACTAAGCATATATAGCAGATTGAGAAGTTTAAGGTCTAGCCGTGTACGGTTGTTGAGGTTTGTTAACACATATAGCAAGTCAAGCAAGAAGTCAAAGCAAGAAAAGTTAGTTAGTTAGTTAAGTTTGTTATCTTCCTAACTAGCTTGTATATTAGGTACATCTTTCATCCCTGTAAAACACGTTCTTTGATTCTTCTTCATTCAATACACCTTTCTTCTTTCCATCTTCCTTTATCACCCTCTCACTGATAAATCCAACATGGTGTCAGAGCACATCTAAGTGCATGGCTTGGCAGACTCCATTGATTCGTCCTCAAATGGCAGGAACCAGTTCAGCAGTAGCTAATCCAGCCGGGAATGCAGGGACCATACCAGCTTCGATCTTTGCAGCCTATGATCCCAAAGACCGGACTGATCCTCTCTATCTTCATCCCAATGAGAGCCCTTCACTGCAACTAGTAACAGTCCAGTTAGAGGGCAGATCCAATTACCATCCATGGGCAAGGGCCATGGAGATGGCATTGAGGTCGAAGAACAAGATGGTACTGCTTGATGGAACCCTGGCAATTCCCAACAAAGCAGATCCCAAGTACTTCTACTGGGATCAATGCAACACCATGATCCTATCATGGATCTTCAGGGCTGTTTCTCCCACCATTGGACGAAGCATACTTTGGATTAACACTGCTGAGGGCATATGGAGAGATCTGAAGAAGCGTTTTAGTCAACAAGACCTGTTCCGCATTGCAGAGATCAAATCTGAGATCTATAGAACAAAGCAAGGTACCTCCTCTGTGAATGACTACTTCACTCAGTTAAAACTGCTATGGGATGAGCTGTTTGTCTTGAGGCCTGCTCTTTCTTGTGAGTGTATACCAATTAGCTGTGAATGTGGTAGCAAGATGTCTGAAAAAATTAGGGCACAATTAGAGAGTGACATGTTGTCATCATTTCTCATTGGCCTAAATGACAGTCTCAATAGTACCAAGAGACAAATTATGTTGATGAAGCCATTGCCCAATGTTAGAGAGGCCTTTGCCATGGTCTCACAACAAGAAAGGCAAATTAGTGAGAATTCCAGCACTGTGGATGAAAGCTTGGCAGGAGCTGGGGTCTTTTTTACAAAACATGAGAACAAGAAGTTCTTCCCTAATCAGAAGCAAAAGCCAGTGTGCAGCTTCTGTGGTTATACTGGTCATACGATTGAAAAGTGCTACAAAAAGCATGGATACCCTCCTGGGTGGAAGCCAAGAAACAAAGGAGTGGGGACTGTTAACCAAGTGCAGTCCAACCCACAAGAACATGGCAGTATAGAAACTGAGTCCTGTTCTTACAATCAAGAAGATTACAAGAGGTTTCTTGAGTTCATGCATCAAGCAAAACGCGTCAGCTCTCCTCTTCAAACTGGTCCCCAAGCCAATACTATAGCTGCAAACTTTGTCCCAGATGCAAGATTGGAAGGTAAGAATACTATTTCTTGCAATACCTTGACAGAATCAGAATTCATATGGATCTTGGACAGTGGAGCCACACATCATATTGTGTGTAGATCAAACTTGTTACAAAATCCTAAGAAGGTCCAGGGAGTGTCTGTTGATTTACCTAATGGACATCAAGCCCAAGTTTCCCATATTGGGACAGTTCAATTATCAGCAGATTTAATTCTATTCAATGTTCTCTGTGTACCTATCTTCCACTGCAACTTAATCTCCTTGGGTGAACTCACAAGAAGATCCAAATATAGCATCATATTTCATTCTAACCACTGTGTTATACAGGATCAACTCCTTGGGAGGATGATTGGTGTGGCTGAATTGAAGAGAGGACTCTATCAGCTTGATTCAATACTGTCACTCTTTGTAAAACTGCTGTAAATAGCTGTAGTTTTTGGCATGCTAGGTTGGGACATGCCTCAGAAGGCAAAATTAGAATTCTACAATCTGTTGATAATAGAATCTGTAATGACAAGACAAATATATGTGATTGTTGTCATTTTTTCAAGCAAAGAAGATTGCCTTTTAAACCTAGTTCTAATATCTCAGCTAACTGTTTTGATCTTATACATGCTGATATTTGGGTACCCTACCAAACCCCTGTTAAATAATCCTTTATGCGCTATAACTTAAATGCGGAAGCACAATTAACAATGACCGCATGTAAATCAAATCAATCAACTAAACAATGTTCATGATCATGGACTTTTAATTAAATAGAAAAGATAGAACTTACTTGGTTCCATTGAAGATGTAATCTCTAAATTGAATGAATCAAGAATATAATGCTTCACCTCTCTGATCCGTATACCTTAATCACCTCCTGATGATACGGAGACTAGAAATCTTAGAGATTTGAAATTGTTCAGATCCCTAGAGTTTTCCTGGGTATTTATAGATGTGATGAGAAACCCTCTTTCAAGAGGAATGGGGAACCTCCTTTAGGAATAGAAATCCCTTTAGAAATGTGACCTCCTTTAGGAATAGAAATCCCTTTAGGATTGTGAAACCCATAACCTTATCCATTATACATCTTTTATCCCTTATAAACTTAAATTTTAACAGAATGAGAGGGAGGGAATTTCACCCAGTAATTCCGCTTTTACACATCACTGATCATCAACGTGAGTACCTTATGGAATTACAACCTTTATTATATAAATCATTGTTAGGAAATAATTATTTCTAACAGTCTCCCACTGATTCATATGAGCATGACACCTTAATTATATGAATCAACGTTAGGAATAAAATTATTTCTAACAATCTCCCACTTGATTCATATATGCGTGACTTTACAATTTTCAATCCTTAATTTGAGCTCACTTAATATGAAAATGTAAAAGTCACCACCTTATCGAACTTTATTAACCGAATCATAGCGGTTACAGGCCTGACATAGCGTCCCGCTCCCTTCCATGTATCACAGTTAATAAAAATTTGAACCATAATAATAAGGTAAAATCCGAAAGTACCTTATTCCTTATGTCTTAAACAAGACCATTGTTATCACTTCTGAATTATGCATAAATAAGTGATCAACATCAACCATAACAAAATCAAAACCTGAATAGATATCTAAGAGTATCATCAACCTGATGTGCTATCAAACATAAATCCATACATGTATGGCAGAGTTAACTGTTATACAAGGACTTTACCAGTATGCCCATCCTTCCAACATGGACAATGAAGGTCGTGGGCGCCAATCCCTTAGTCAACGGATCCGTGATCATAAGATCGGTGCCAATATGCACTATTGATACTCTTTTGATTTTGTACCTTCTCCTTAACAGACAGAAATTTCAAATCCATGTGCTTGGCACCACTAGTATATCTGTCGTTCTTTGAGAAGAACATAGCTGCTGTATTATCATAATAAATCCTCAATGAAATTACGCAGCCATGATTAATGAATTGTAGCCTCAAAGCATGCTACAAATTCTGCCTTTATAGTGGAAGTAGCAATGACAGACTCCTTCACACTCATCCAAGATATTGCTCCATGAGCAAGTGGAAAAAAATATATTCGAATGTGGATTTTCGGGTATCCAATCATCCGGCATAGTCTGAATCCGAATAACTTATAACCTCTAGGTTATTCGTTCCTTTTATAGGTGAGCATGTGGTCCTTAGTGCCTTGTAAGTATCACAGGACCCTCTTTGCAGATTTCCAGTTTATATCTTTCTAAAACTTTGTTAATGTGAGTCTTCTAGGATGAACCTAAAATCCCATGTGATCTATTACAGAATATTTCTTATTCCAATCACATATGAAGTCTCACCCATATCCTTCATCTCAAAGTTCTTAGAAAGATATTCCTTAACATCACGCAACATCCCTTTTATTATTAGCAGCAAGAAGAATGTCGTCAACATGTAATACTAGGATTACAAACTTGCTTCTATTAAACCTTTACGTGGATACACCGATCAACGGTGATCTCTACAAAACCAAATGACAATTTCAAGTACCATTGTCTAGAAGCATGTTTTAATCCATAGATCGACATCTTCAATCTACATACCAGATTTTCCTTTCCTGTGGCCATGAAGCCTTGCGGCTAATCCATGTATACTTCCTCTTTTAATTTACCATTCAGAAAGGCAATTTTAACAACCATTTGGTGGAGCTCAAGAACAGAATGAGCCACCAAAACCAAAATACTTCTCAAGGAGAATTATTATCCTGTATGGCTTGGTTAAATGAGACTGGATAATTATCAATGCTCAAGTCACTTTCATGCTCAAGTGCATAAACAATATAGTCATCAGGAATGGCTGATCTTTTCTATCTAGTAGATCTCCTTAATGCCACTTCCTGCTGAGATTTCACTTGATCATCATCTTGAGTTTCAACCTCATCTTCATTTACAATAGCTTCCTCATGTGGAATTTGAGCATCTAGTTGCTGTTGTTCCAAAGTATTTCCATAAGGCTACACTGCACTGCAGCAATAGGAACAACAACAGGAAAAAGGATCACTTGATGAATCTGGAACCATCAATGACTCCTTAATCTCAACATTACGAGCTCCCACACTCCCACTGACTTCGCCATTTTAAATGAAGCGAGCATCACCAGACTCAACAATCCTCGTACTTATGATTAGGACAATAAACATGTACCCTTTAGACCTTTCTGGATATCCAATGAAATAACCACTAATGGTTCTGGATTCCAATTTATTTTCATGTGGATTATATATCCTCACTCCAGCTTGACAGCCCCAAATGTGAAGATGCCTCAAACTAGGTTTCCTTCTTGTCCACAGTTCGTAACGTGTTTTAAAAAACAACCTTACTAGGAACCCTATTGAGTAAGTATGCTGTTGTTTTTAATGCATATATCCACAATGAAACAGGCAATGTACAGTTATTTACCTTACTCCTAACCATTTCCCTTAGAGTACGATTTCACCTTTCTTCCACACCATTTTGATGTGGTGTGCCTAGCATTGTGTATAATGCACAAATGCCCTTAGATTCGAGGAATTTCTTTAAATGGGCCGAAAATTTGCCCAACTTTTGATGTTTTCCCATAATACTCATCACCTTTATATGATCTAGTTGTCTTTACCTTTCTATTTAACTGACTCTCAACTTCAAATATGAATGTCTCTGGGACATCCACAGACTGAGATCTTTCACGCAGTAAATAGATGTAACAGTACCCAGAATGATCATCAATAAAGGTAACAAATTATTCATCACCGCTCCAAGACGGATCATCAAAAGAGACCACAGATATCTGTATGTATTAAATCAAGTAATCATGAGCTTCTTGTGGCTGAGTGTACTGATACATGTCTGACATGCTTTACTTTTATTCAATCGACACATGCATCATTCCAGTCATTAAAATCCAATTGAGACAAAATTCCAACTTTAATAAGTCTCAATATCCTTTATTTGGATATATGACAAAGTCTTTTATGCCACAAGTTAGCTGAAGATTCTTTTCGGCGCACTCCTTTTAACACAAACATCACATTAAACAAGGAATTAACAAAGTCATCATTAAGATTGAAACAGTATAGTGTATCCAACAAAACACCAGAACCATAAAGGTTTTTGTTGATACAAACATTTGTTTCCAATCTTAAAGTAAAAACTCAATGTTTCCAACCTAGCTGTTGAAACAAGATTTCTAGAACAATTTGGAACATACAGACAATTCTCAAGATCAAGGCAAAAAACCTGTATCCAGCTTAATTCTGTAACTTCCAATACCTTTAATTCTAGCTTTCATCATGTTTCCCATGAAAAGACACTTTTCATTTTCCCTATGAGGTTGAAACATAAAAAATCTTGCTTAATGTTATAAACATGTGTTGTAGCACCAATGTCTAACCACCAAGTATTAGAAAGAACTTTAACAAGATTGGATTCAAAGCATACTGAAACTGAATGTATACTTTTATTTCCATCCAAGCCTTCCTCTTCAGGCATTCAGCCTTCTTGTGCCCAGGTTTGTTACAGAATAGCATTTATGCACTTTCTGAACATCACCTTGCACCTTCATAGGATGCTTGACCTTCTTTTTTAAAACTTGCTGCTATTACTTCTGACATCAGAACTGTCACCATTATAGCGTGATACAATAGTGTTCACTGCGAACATTTATCTCACATATCAATTGCTTTGAGTAACAATCTTTATTCAGACTATAATTTATAGACCTTAAGTTTGCATTTAAATTCGCCTTTGGGTCAAATTTAAATACAATGTCAATTTACCGACATGCATCATTCACACATACTTGAATGAGACTATTCATCAAGTTCCAATTTAATATATAGGCCATCTTTGGACATGCACTACATATTAACAAAAAAAGAATCATAATCTCCTAAATTGTCATTAATCACATGTCTGATCTACCTTTGAGCAACCGCTAGAACCATGTGTTAATGATCACAAATGTTTATCAATCCTTTAGTGTCATTCAACGATGCAAAATACCTGTGTACGATAAACATTTGTAAACATAAATAATTATTTAGCTATTTCCTTGAGTGGGCCACTTTGGCGACTAACACACTCGCCTTATGCTAATAATTTATTTATGTGAATAAGCTTTAATTTATGTTGCAAACATAAACATAAATGATCATTTAGCTATTACTATGAGTGGGCTGCTTTGACAACTAACGCACTCGGCTTATGCTAATAACTCATTTATGTAAGTAAACCTTGATTTATATATATGCTATAAACATAAACATAAATGATTATTAGCTATTACCTTTAGTGGGTCACTTTGGCGACTAACGCACTCGCTTTATGCTAATAATTCATTTATAAACATATATATATATAAATTAATAATGGATACAACCTCCAACCATAATTGATCCCAAATGAGCCTTTAAAGCAAGT